ATTCAGTTTGCACACATAATCTTCCTTCCCCCTTTCGACATACCCTTCAGGTTGCCTCATCAGGATTGTTTCATCTAGATTACCATACAAGAATGCAGTCTTCACATCCATTTGTTCCAGTTCAAGGTCGAACTGGGCCACCATGGCAAGCAACATTCGAATGGATCTGTGCTTCACAACAGGAGAGAACACATCATTAAAGTCGATACCTTCTTTCTGAGTGAATCCCCTAGCAACCAATCTTGCCTTGTATCTCTTCGACGTCACTCCTTCGATTCCTTCCTTAACTTTGAAAATCCATTTACAGCTGACTAACCTGGCTCCAGCAGGTTTCTTGATCAGTTCCCAGGTGTTGTTATCATGAAGAGATTTCATCTCATCATCCATGGCCTTCAGCCATTCAGTCTTCTTTCGACTCCTCATAACTTCCTTATAGTCTCTAGGTTCTTCATCTAGAACCTCACTAGCAGAGATTAAGGCATAAGCTATAAGATCTGCATACCCAAGTCTCTGAGGTGGCTTGATGACTCTCCTCGACCTGTCTCTTGCTAGCAGGTAGTCATTATCAGTCTCCTCATCTTCGACAACATCTTCTGTGTCTTCTTCGACTTCATCTGGGGTAAGCAATTCAGCATCAACATGCTCCACCTCAACAGGAATCTCTCCTTGTTCCAGCTCTTCGTCAGCATCATCAGTTTTCTTGAAAGCCATCTCTACTTCGTTGAAAACTACATCTCGACTGATGATACACCTCCTGTGACCTGGCTCTAGGCACCATAGCCTATAAGCTTTGACTCCTTCAGGGTATCCCATGAACATGCACTTCAGAGCTCTAGGTTCGACCTTGTCTTGCCTAATATGAGCATAGGCCACACAGCCAAATACTCTCAGTCTGTCGAGACTAGGTGGATGTCCCGACCAAACTTCTTCAGGTGTCTTCATTCCCAAGGCAGTCGAGGGACATCTATTTATCAGGTAAGCTGTTGTCGAAACAGCTTCCGCCCAAAACACCTTCTTCAATCCAGCACTAACCAACATGCATCTAACCCTTTCAAGGATTGTTCGATTGAATCTCTCAGCTAAGCCATTTTGTTGAGGAGTACCTGCTACAGTTTTATGCCTTGTAATCCCAGACCCAACACAGTAATTGTCGAAAGCTTCATTGCAGAATTCAAGGCCATTGTCGGTTCTCAACCTCTTAACCTTTCTGCCAGTCTGAGTTTCGACTAGAATCTTCCAACTTTTGAAATTCTCAAAAGTTTCATCCTTCGTCTTCTGAATGAATATCCATAGTTTTCTGGAATAGTCATCAACGATGGATAGAAAATACCTTGCACCTGAGTGTGAAGGATTCCTTGCAGGCCCCCAAAGATCAGCATGAATGTAATCCAGAGATCCATGTGTTCTTTGCTTGCCTTTGTTAAACTTCGCCCTACAGGATTTACCAAATACACAAGATTCACAAAATTCCAACTTTTCAACTTTGTCACCTCCTAGCAGGTTCTGCTTCCCCAATTCGACCAGGCCTCTTTCGCTGACATGGCCCAATCTCATGTGCCATAATTCTGTCTTCGACATAGATTTCGTGGATGCAACATTTGTCGAACCACTTACAACCTCAGCCTCAAGGGTATACAAGCCTTGTTTCTTCACGCCTCTCAAGACTTCCTTCGACCCCTTCATGACTCTTAGGATACTTTTCTCTCCTTGAAAAACATATCCTTTTCTGTCGAATTCACCAAGAGAAATCAAATTTCTCTTCAAGTCAGGTACGTACCTGACTTCAGTCAATAACCTTATTGACTCATCATGGAGCTTGAATCTCACAGATCCAATACCTGCAATTTTGCAAGATTTGTTGTTTCCTAACAGCACAGATCCACCATCTTGATCACATAGCTCCTCGAACAATTCTCTGTTTGGAGACATGTGCCAAGTGCAACCTGAATCCATAATCCACTCTTTCCTCGAGTCGCCACTTGAAACCACAAGAACATCAGATGAGTCAAAGTCATCTTGAACAATGGCTGCATTGCCATTACCTCCATGATCTTTCAGGCGTTCAGGGCACAACTTTCTTATGTGACCCTCCTTCTTACAGTGGTAACATCGAATACTAGATGTTTCGCCACTATAAGACTTCTGTTGACTTTTACCTTTTTTCTTGTCGAACTTACCATCCTTTTGCAAGAATTTTCCCTTAACGGCCAAACCTTCGCCCACCGTCGAAGGTTTATGCTCCTTTCGTTCGTTCAAGTCCTTAGAATACAAGGCTGATTGAACTTCTTCAAAGGTCAGGGACTCCCTTCCATACAAGAGAGTTTCTTTGAAGTGAGCATGTGTTCTGGGCAAAGCACACAGCAGCAATAGTGCTTGATCTTCATCATCGATCTTCACATCAATATTTTCAAGATCAAGAATCAGCTTGTTGAACATATCCAACTGCTCAGCCAACACTTTGTCTTCACTCATCTTGAATGAATATAAAGCTTGCTTCAGGTATAGTCGATTCACCAGAGATTTGGTCATGTACAAACTTTCAAGTTTCACCCATAATCCCGATGCTGTAGTCTCCTTTGATACCTGTCGAAGAACCTTATCACCAAGGCTCAATAATATTGCGCTGTGGGCTTTCTCGACCATGCCCGTCTTTTCTTTTGCCGTTAACGCAGCGTCCATGGCTGCCTCACCCTTCAACGCTTCCAAACAACCCTGCTGAACCAATAGGGCTTTCATCTTCAAGCGCCACAGACCGAAGTCGTTCACTCCGGTGAACTTTTCAATCTCATACTTTGTTGAAGGCATCTTCTCCACGCTCACCGCACCAATTTGTTGTGAATCGGATACCTTTAAACAAAGTATAAACGGTTTCTTAATGATCAAGAAACACACAAGGGTTAGGGTTAACAAAGAAAACAAGGTAAAACAACAAGGAACAACAAGGATTGGTTATTAAACTGCTATTCTTTCCTTTCTCTTTGAACAAGATTACAAGTATACAAGAATAACAAAATAACCTCTCTCCCTTGAAATTAGGATTTTATCTTCCTATTTTTCCTTATTCCAAGATTGAGAAACTAGCATCCTATTTATAATAAAATAGCACACTAACCTAATGGGCTTTTTAACAATTACCCATTACAAGCTAACAACCTTAGCAATATTTACTCATGTTAACAACCTTAGCAATATTTACTCATGCTAACAACCTTAGCAATATTTACTCATGCTAACAACCTTAGCAATATTTACTCATGCATGTTAGAACAAACTTCGACTACAACACGCATTACTTGCGAACAGACTTCGACCACACTAGAGTTCGATCCAATGTCTCACAGTATAGTAACATATAAACTTAGTGGTAAGGTATGTTTTAAGTTGAATATTACGTGTATGAAAATTGATAGGTTGATGATGTTTTTTTGTTAACTGTTATTGCCAGTTCATGAGTGATGTCTGAAACTCATGTTGAACGTTTAAGCAAAAGGGAAATGAACAATGAATCAGATGTGTCGCACATATCAATTTCATCTGACAATATCAAGTAAAACTAATTTTTTGTTTTTGTTTTAGCTAATGGTTGTGTTGTCTGATAGAAGCTGTCCTTGTTGATTTGCATGGAAATTTTACGTTTCGATTTAACATATCATGTAACTTAATAAATGTATATCTATTTTTATTTGCAGTGCATCTTCCATGCAATTTAACAAAATCATGGAAAAAGATCTGTACCGGGAGAAAAAGATCATGAAGTCCACAAAAGATGGAAAAAATGTCACGGTAATTACCTGATATACACTGTCATACATAATTAATTGTGATGTGTCAATAATAAAGTAAAAAATTAACTTTTTTATACTAAAAGTTAAACTCAAAATAGCAAGGCTCTGTTTGGTAAGTCACATTTTCAAGCTAATAACTTATATTTTATAAGCTCATATGATATTTAGACTTGTTTGATAACGATAATTTCATCATGAGCTTATATCTTATTTTAATAACTTATAATTTATAACGTTTTAATTTAGGATAATGCTAACGTTTATAGTTTATAACTTATCATATTTTCTTCCATTTTTATTTTTATTATTTTAATAAAAAATATTTTTTTTTATCTTTTATAACTTATTTTAATTTTAAATAAAATAAATATGTATTAAATACCTTTTATGTCTTTTTACATTTTTTTAGTTAAATAGTTAATTTTATCAAACACTTTAATTAATTTATCATGCACTATCAATCATTAGTCATAAACTATAAACTAATTTATTAGTTAACCGTTATTTTTATGACTCTAAAATATTGTTTTGAAAATAATTAATATTTAATATAATTATTAATTAATAATTCATTAACTTTAACCAAATACGTTTTACCTAACAAAATTCCTTCTTTTAGCAAAGTGTATAAATGCATTTAGTAAAAAAAACTCTACAAATACACTTAATCCAAAAGAAGTATATAAATTTAGCTAAAAAACAGAATAAGGTATGTTCGTTTCTGACAAAAGAAAAAAAAATTGTAAAAGTATAAATAAATATGTAAAAAATAAGATATACAGTACTAATTAAAAATTAAGATCAAGTACATTAAATTTTGATATACATTTTATTATAAATATTACTAAATAATTAATACTAGTATAAATTAAGAAATTGTTGAGTAAAGAGGACATTCCAAAATTATAAAATTGTTGAGTAAAGAGGACATTCCAAAATTATACAGCAAAGCATCATCAGCGTCCAGGTTCATCCCCCAACCCTTCAAAACTCGATTCTTCTTATTAGGGTTATTAGGGTTAGGGTTTTCTTCTTCTTCTTCAATTTCTTCTCCCTCTGCAAATTCTCAATGTCCTATTCTTCCATTTTCCTCACACAATCTCTACTCAACCACCACTGCAACTGTAAAATCTATCATCAATTCCTCTATTGTTGTTGTTCTTGATAATCGATTGCTCCGTTTCTTTGATTTCAATTTATCACGAACTGTTTTTGATGGACCTCTCTCATCATCAATCCAATTTATCTCTCAGTTTTTCATCTTCTCACGCTTCACCGCCTCGCCGTCCACCGATTCCCGACGACTCGATTTCGCTTCATCTCGAATCGAGTTTTCGCGATCCATCACATCCGGTCCCCACCGTTCCTCTTCAGCTCATGGAACCGCAGACGGAGAAAGAGAACGGTAGTATCGATACCGATTTGAACGTTAACGAAGAAGATGATAGAGAAGTTGAGGAGTTTCGCATTCTAGGTCATTCCATGTGTCTGAAAAGACGAAGGGATTGTGATTCTTCTACAGTCATGGCCAAGAGAGCTTCGGTGGAAAGGGATCTCGAGTCGCGGAAGCTTGCAGTTCGATCGTGGGGAGATCAACCGTTGCATCTTGCGGATCCTGACATATTCGCGATAATGGAGAAGGAGAAAAATCGTCAATATAAAGGTATTGAATTGATAGCTTCTGAGAATTTCGTGTGTAGGGCTGTGATGGAAGCGTTAGGAAGTCATTTGACGAATAAATACTCTGAGGGAATGCCTGGTGCTCGTTACTATGGTGGAAATCAGCATATAGATGAAATTGAAACGCTTTGTTGTGAGCGTGCTTTGAAAGCGTTTAATCTTGATCCCAAGTGTTGGGGTGTGAACGTGCAGCCATATTCATGTACCTCTGCTAATTTTGCTGTGTATACTGGATTGTTGTCTCCAGGGGATAGAATCATGGGGTTGGATACTCCTTCTGGAGGGAATACTAGTCATGGATACTATACTCCTAATGGAAAAAAAGTTTCGAGTGCTTCTATATTCTTTGAGAGTTTACCTTACAAGATTAATCCCCAATCGGGTTTTATTGATTATGATAAGCTTGAGGAAAGGGCACTTGATTTTCGTCCTAAGATACTTATTTGTGGTGGAAGTTCTTATCCTCGAGAATGGGATTATGCTAGGTTTAGACACATTGCAGATAAATGCGGGGCCGTGTTATTGGGTGACATTGCTCAGATTAGTGGGATAATTGCAGCTAAGGTGTGTATTATCTTTTTTCCTGGTACTTGTCAAGTTAGATTTTATTACTATATGTATTCGTGTTGGTGCTTCTTCACGGCAGTTACTGGTTGCATTTGTTTATGGGTTATGGGATTGTAGCAGTTGCTTTTTTTTCTTTTATACGATTCTTTGTCATTTCATCATAAAGACCAAAAGTTAATCTGCATTTTGCACTCTTAACAGTTATTGATTTAGTTTGAATGGAAGTCTCCCTTAATTGTGGTTGGTAGTTTTCATCATGGACTCTACAGATTTCTGCTTATTTTTGGAGACTTGATATTTGATATCAGTATCACTATTCGAATCCATAGATGTCAACTAGTTTTAATTAATTTTTTTTGCTAATCCTAAATCAAGTTTTGCATGTGTTAATTTTAATGTCGCATTACACTTTAAAGTTAATCCTAGTAGGCCATTTGCACAAATATTTAATTAGTGGCGCGCTTTCAATTTTGTAGGTGTATGCTCGTTATTTTCTTTAATATTATGGTTTTATTGTCCTTGCAGGAGTGTGTGAACCCTTTTGATTATTGTGATGTTGTCACATCGACAACTCACAAGAGTCTTCGTGGTCCTAGGGGTGGTATAATTTTTTATCGAAAGGGGACAAAACCAAGGAAAAGAGGGATACTTGTTCAGGGACATGAAAGTGATCAATATGACTTTGAAGAAAAGATAAATTTTGCTGTTTTTCCATCATTGCAAGGTGGGCCTCACAACAACCACATTGCTGCGCTAGCTATTGCGTTAAAACAAGTGGCCACTCCTGAGTATAAGGCATACATGCAGCAGGTGAAGAAGAATGCTCAAGCTTTAGCTTGTGCTTTATTGAGAAGAAAATGCCGCCTAGTAACTGGGGGTACAGACAATCATTTATTACTTTGGGATTTAAGGCCCTTAGGATTGACAGGTATTTTATTACCATGCCATTTCTTTACAATATATTGCAGATTGCATCCTTGTATGTTTAGTGCTAACATGTTAACTAGACTCATCTAGTTTATATGTTTTCTGCTTTTTGCTTTGGCTGAGTTTGATAACAAGAATTAGTGATGTTTGATTTTTGTGTTTATGTATATGGTAATAACAAGACCGATATTTTTTTGGCTTGCAGGTAAAATTTACGAGAAGGTCTGTGAGGCATGTCATATTACTTTGAATAAAATTGCTATTTTTGGTGATAATGGAACTATAATTCCTGGAGGAGTAAGGATAGGTAAGCGATAATTTTCAGGCTTGAATCTTTTATGTTTTTTATGCTCAGAATATTTAATTGGCGGTGCATTGTTATGAGACAGATTTTTTATGCTGTATTGTATTACTTAGGTACCCCTGCCATGACTTCAAGAGGGTGTTTGGAGTCCGATTTTGAGACAATGGCTGATTATCTTTTTAGAGCTGCACAAATCGCAATCATGCTGCAGAGGGAGCATGGGAAATTGCAGAATACTATTTATAAGGTACTTGAGAGCAATAGGGACATTATTGAGCTTCGGGCACGGGTTGAAGCTTTTGCAACTCAGTTTGTGTTGCCGGGTTATGACATTTGAACATAATGCAGCTGGTGTGTTGCATTATTGATTTTTTGTAAATGCTACACTGGTGGGTTATTGTGCCTGCATGTCACAAAAACAAGTGATCTTGATGTGCAGATATTTTGTCGAGCTTCTCTCCACTTTTCATTGTACACAGTTGTCAGGTTTTTGCATGTGCTCTATAAGTGAGAATCGCCACTGAGGTTTCTTTTGGTAATCAAGCATCCTGTTCCTGGCTTGATGTAGGGTACACAAGGGTTGGAACAAAGATTCTTGATCAACCAACCGAGAACATAATTCTTCTGAGAAATCTGCTGAAAATAATTAATCTGATGAAGGTTAGTCACCTTGAATTCTTTGACCTGCTGTTTCATGGTGTAAACAATGGTAATCCTGTTTTTTCTTGATACATATTACCCGTTTTTTCATATGATAGTTGTACTCTTTTCAGCAACAATACAGTGCTGAGTTAATTGTTAAATATACAGGTTCATGTGTCAAATAAGTAATTGCTTCGTACCCTTGTATAAAATATGAATTATTTTCTAAAAAAAAGTTTGATGATTCTGTTATAGTTGGCAATGGAAATATTTTTCAGAAGCTCTTTTAAGTTTTTTCAACTTCTGTTATTGTGGCATTTTTTATGACTTGTTGCTGTCATTGCACAGGAGTTGTTAGGTTCATATAATCCTGTCATTGAAGTACTTTGCCACATTTACTATTTTTTTTTTGCAGAGATGGATTTATTTGGCAAATAGTTATTTTTTATGAATGAATATTTGGCTAATAGTTGGCGTTCTTGTAGATGTTCTAGTAGGGTCTAGAATATGACTAGTAAATATTTGGTTTGGTGTATACTGTAATAAACATTAACATTTTCAACTATTTAAAATGATATAGTCCCCATAATATTTTATGATATTGTGGAAATTCTTGCAATCTCCATAGACAATTTATTTCGAGGAGAATAATCATTCCTACTTTGAAGGGTTTGGAAATTCTTGTCCATAGAGGAGTTATATATTTATATTGTGTCACTCTTAAGAAAACATGGAAAATGAGAAAATTATACAAGTATGGCCCTAATAATTCAAATGAAGAATATGGAAGAAGTTGCGTGAGAAAAGTTGCCACAATACGATAATGTAAGATTGTTGACCACCAAGCGTTGGCACTAATGTATAGATTTTGAAGGTATGCAGGTATGCAAACTCCTATAATCACTGCCAATAAAATGAGCAGATTTTGAAGGCAGTTACTAAGTGTTTAAGTGTATGTTTTGTTTCATTTTTGAATTACGTAATATATTGTTTTTACAAGTATACTACTCTACTACTTTGCTTACTTTTTATTTGGGAGTCTGAACCATACTTATTTCCTTAAAAGAGAGTAAACTAGTCTATTTCATTTATCTATTTATTAACTTTATATAATTTTTCTAATAGTTAAATATTTAATTAACATTACAAAAGATCAAAATAATTAGTTTATATTATGACTGAAAAGCATAATCAATATAAAAAGCATTCATATCAACATTTTTTATGGTTAAATAAAGATCACGAGAATAGCAAGATAACCCATAAAAGCAAATGCCTCTACCTATAAATCTTTACAATTTAAGATTTAGTAAATTGAAACAAAAGAGACAATCTATTCATCACAGTAACAAACATCTAGATTTCTAGAATCAACAATACTAAATCGAAGGAAGAGATCAGGGTGATTAATAAAGAGAACCAATCGAGCCCAGTTAGATGCACCTTTGAACTTGAGAATATGAAAACACACCAACACTAAGAACCTAGACAGCAAGTTGAGTTCTATTCAATCTCAACCAAGTTTGCTAGCAACCAAAACAACCATAAGGACGATGATATATAAAAAACACGCAATTCGAGACTATTAAAGAAGATGAAATCGTAATTCGAGACTATTATAGAAATATGATTTAATCTTCACCCCCTCTTTTATATATCTAGTACCCCTATTTTATATGATAGTTTCAAAAGTGTCTCTGCACAATTTTTTTTCAAGTGTGCGTACAAAATTTTCGATAAGTAATTCAAAATTTTTTGTACAATCAATTTTTGGTAGGGTATTCATAATTTCCAATATGAACTAATATCGAAATTTTTAAATATTTCTGTTACGCTTGAAATTTTACCAGTATTTTCAAAAAATGTCATGTTATGTTAAAAATTTAAACCAATGTGAAATTTTCGATAGTTCAATTATATAAGATTTTTAACGGTTAGGATTTTGCCGACAGTTTTATAGGACTGTGAATGCACCGATCGTTTTCTATCGTCCAAAATAAATTCAAAGTTGTACAAATATGGGTCATCTATTGTTGAGAAAAACATCTCAAAATACATCTTCCTCAATTTTTTATTAAGGCAGAACTGTACTTCAACGGAGCTGCACCTCATATAGAGTTTCAGCTTTCAGATGACACCACATCTCTCGCCGCCTTGACATCAAGTTGAATGAATTGTTTCCTAATTTCGCTAACAAAAAGGTGAGAAAGATCGATTTTCGTGAAGATTGGATTGATAATGATGAAATAGTGAAATACAACCTTATTGAGTTGAAGACAGATGAAGATTTGGCGATTATGTAGAAATCATTTCGCTGTGGACTAACTAAGAGGTCGATCGAGTTAAATGCGAAGATTTCAAGATCTGTCGACGACATAATTAAAATGCTAAAACGTCCAGAATCATCTTGTAATGTCTACGTTTTTATGTTTTCTTATGTTGTAATGTCTTAAGTTATGTTCATCTTTGAAACATGTAATTGACAAAAACTTTATGTAATAAAGGTATGGTGCTAAGTAGTTTGAGTAACAAAATATACAAATAATACAACAGTAAAATCAAATAACTAAATAGGTCCTCCACGAGCTATGTGTGTTGTCCGCAATAATTCAGTAAAAATCTCACCATTTAGATTTACCAAACCCATGAGGTTATGCATAATAACAATGATCATCTGCAGGCGTTACTAGTCATCGACATCAGGTGAAGGTGGCGGTCGCACATCATCGACAGGTACCCTAATATCAGAAGGCACAAAATCACATGTATGCTTAACATGTGGGATGATGCGAGGTGTGATACAATGAGATACCACTCTAGGTAACCATCCTTACACTATGCTATCTATAATGGCACGAACAAAGCTGGTGATGTTACTCTGAAACCACCTTTCAATTCTCGAAGCTGGAACATCCAGAACTGGTTGTTGGATGCCCTGGACATAACCATAATGTCGCAGACACCTCTCAAGCAAGTGTCTAGCGACTAAGGTCTCCCACAACATATAACTAGAAAATAAAGAAGACTCATTAAACTCATGGTGGACTTTGTGAGTTGTGTATGGTGTCCAGATGACATCATATATTGTTAGCGCAACAAGCCTCCTCCCGTACTCTGCAACACCACCTATGTGTGCTTGCCTCTCCTTCCATCTCCTCGCTAATGGGGCGCCCACAAAGGTATACTGTACCCTCCTGCCGCAGATGGTGGGAAAATGCTCGTATATCCAGCACTAATAAAAACCATAGACAAAACAAATAATAATTAAGAAATGTTGTTCGTAAAATTAAATAAGAACTAAACTACAAATAATAATTTCAAGTATAGTTGGAATAGATTCAAATAACCAGCAAGCTGTCCAGTCTTAAAGACAATAACAACTCCAAGTGTTCATATAGGATGGTTAATGCAGCATGAAGGTGAGAAAAATACACAAGAAGGGGTGTTGAATTGTACTTTTCGTTTCTTATCTTTGCATCTGATCAGAGTTCAGAATCTGAACTATGTTCAGATCTTGATTAATACGTTGCAGCAAAATATTAACAGAAGCAAATAAAAGATAAAGAACACACAAAATTATTCTGGTTCCTCCAAACTGAGAGTAATACAGTCCCTTTGCAGCACAAGATATTTTTCACTATAATCATAACATGATTAGAATCGCTTATGCACTTCAGCATAAGACTTTTCTTTATACCCTCAGCCTGAGACTTCCTTCTTAAACCCCTCAATTCCAAGACTTCCTGCTCATGTTTCATGAACCCAAGACTTCCTACTTAAGTCCCTCAGTCTCAAGACTTCCTTGCTAAGACCCTCAAGTCCAAGACTTCCTGCTTAGGTTCCACGAACACAAGATTTCCTGTTTAAGCCCATCAGGCTCAAGACTTCCTTGCTCAGACCCTCAAGTCCAAGACTTCCTTGCTCAGGTTCCACGAACCCAAAAATTCTGTTTATACCCTCAAGTACAAGACTTCTCCTTAGACTCACCGTCTAAGACTTTCTTGCTTAATTAACAACTGATCAAGACTTTCAATGCTCTAGCACATATCAGGAGACTTGACTCAAGCTTCTCAGCAAGAGACTTTGATGCTCAAGCACATAGCAAGAGACTTTATCTAAACTACTAAACAATCTATTTAGCAAAATAGAGAACGAGGTGTACTTGATACAAAATCAGAGTTACATGGTAATCACCATAACAAAGAATTAAACACTTAAGATTTATAAGATATTCAATGTTTAAGAAATCTTAACGCTTTATACAATTTACAACATATAACATAATTTCTGCATACTCGATTGTGTTGCTTATTGTTGACCTTGTTATTTCTCCATCCAAATAAAAATTTAAAACACTCCTATCCTTCTTGGCTTTCCTTCTCTATTTTCTCCTTGTTCCTTGTTGAAAATTCTGATCGAATCTTTTGCTACTTATATATCAGTTGTAGAAGACTAGCTGTTGGAAGAGATAACTTGTACAAATGTCTTTGTTTCTCCATAGTACTAGAGACGTTGAAGATAGATACACCAAAAGATCTTAATCTATTGTGTAAATTGTTTAACCACTGCGTCTTTCATCTAATCTTGTACTATAGATTCGTTGAGAGTAGATATCCGTAAAGCATGTCAACTCTTCTTGAGCCTTGTGAACATAGGCTCTAACTGACAAATCAATTTGACAATGCAGCTTGCTTT